CCAAAAGCCCTATAGCCCTATAGACCTATAGCCCTATATCCCTATGACCCTATAGTTCCATAGCCCTCTAGCCACATAGCTCCATCGCCCTATAGCCCAATAGCCCCGTAGTCCTGTAGCCCTAAAAAGCCTTTGATAGGCCGCCCGGGTGCCCGGGTGTCCGGGTGCCCAGGTGCCCGGGTGCCCAGGTACACGGGTGCCCAGGTGCCGGGGTGCCCAATTACCCGTGTGCCTTATAGCCCTATAGCTTTACAGCCCTATCGCCCAATAGCCTATTGCCCTACAGCCTTCTAGCCCCATAGCCCAATAGCCATACAGCCCTATAGCCCAATAGCCCTATAGCCCAATAGCCCTATAGCCCTATAGTCTTCTAGTCTTATAGCCCTAGAGCCCTAGAGCCCTAGAGCCCTATAGCTCTATAGCCCTGTAGCCCTATAGCCCTACAGCCCTAGAGCCCTAGAGCCCTATAGCCCCATAACCCTATAGCCCAATAGCCCTATAACCCCATAGCCCTAGAACCTTGGAGCCCTGTAGTTCAATACTTGCCAGGTACCATGGTCTTTGACCGTCGGCTGACAAGAATCAGAAGGCGCCGCATGCCGCCGATGACCGGTTCAAGACGCAAGCGTGACCCCATCTGCAGTCTGGAAGCCCTCGTGAAATCTCTTGGGAAGCTGCAGCCGAAGCAAGAGCGACTGCGTTGGTTAAGGGTGTCCAGGGCCACTCGGCCTCAACGTGCAAACGAACACACTGAATTAACAGCATTGCGGGCATGACGACGACGATGACGCAGATGATGAAGCAGCCGACTGTGACGACCACACGGAGTGAATAGGGTGTAAGTTGGGCCAGAACGGAGTGATTTCCCATCCCATGTTTTGTGGGGCGGAGTGATTGTATCTAGTATTATTTGTTCTTACATGGTGCGAGCCCCTGGGCCTGGAACCGCAGCCGGACCAGAAACCTTTCGCTAAGATTCTACGGGGGGCGGGGGGTCTCAGCGGATGACACGTGACGGTCAAATCTACAGTGCCGCCCGCGTAGCCCAATAGCCCCATAGCCCTATAGCACTATAGCCCTATATCCCTATAGCCCCATAGCCCCACAGCTCTATATGCCTATAACCCTATAGCTATATAGCCCCATAGCCCTACATCCCCATAGCCCTATAGCCCTATAGCCCTATGGTCCCATAGCCCCATCGCCCTACAGTCTCATAGTCCTATTGCCCTATAGCCCTGTAGCACCATAGCCCCATAGCCCCAAGGCCCTATAGCCCTACAGCCCTATAGCCCTATGGCCCTACAGTCCTAAAGCCCTATAGCCCCATAGACCTATTACCCTATGACCCTATAGCCCTATAGCCCCTTAGCCCTATAGCTCCATAGAGCCCCATCGCGCCATAGCGCAATAGCCCCATCGCCTTATAGCCCGAAATGGATTTGATCGTTTTTTTTCTCCAGTATCAGGTTATTTATACATATAATGGGAAACTGGGCCCGGGATCCCCCGGCCCCGACCTTGACCGCAAGTGCGGGTGCTGGGTGCCGGGCCCGCTTCTGGGGAGCCCCAAACCATCCCCGCGGGCGATCAGACGGCCGTCAAGGCGGCCCAAGACGGCTTCGAGTCACCGTCAAGACGGCCTGGATCTGTCTCAGACGGCCCAAGACGCGTCTCGAACGGACCAAAGGTCCCAAATCGTTCAAGAGGGCCCAAGTTGGTCCCAAGAGGGCTTCGAGAGTCGACATTCACTTATTCTCTTTATGCTTTTGCATGATTTCAGCGTTATCCTTGCTTCGGGTTTCTACGCTCCAAACAGTTCAAGAGGCCAGCAAGATCGCCCCAAGACGGCCCAACAGTGTGCGAAGACGCCCCAAGCTGGTCCAGGAGGTCACAGGATGGCCGACAACCTTGAGAAGGGCACCACAACACGCCCAGGCGGGTGACAGCGGCGGGGCTTTGGGAGCCTGTTCCCCAAAGATGGCCCCAGAGACCCGCTTCGTGCCCCCAAGATGCCCCTGGAGGTGCGAGAGCCTCATGCGACTCCTTCAAGACTGCCCAAGAGGCCCCAGAGACGGCCCCCCGATCACGCGCCAAGAGAACGCTAAGACGAGCTCAAGCGACCCCCCACCACGGCCACGAGGACCGAAGCGGTCCCGAGAGGGACCAGACGGCCGAAGAGAACCCGTGGAGACAGCCCAAGACATGCCCAAGCAGCCCCAAAAGAGCGTCCGGAAAGTTCTCGGTATGAGAATTCATACTTTCTCTCTAGGTTTCTAATCTGTGTGTCACGGCCCTCGAAGCTTCAAAGATGGCTGACGAAGCTCCGAGCATCGCTCCAAGACAGTTCACTGCGTCTCCGCGAGGGCTCTCGGTCGGGTCCGCGACTGTCCAGGGCGACGCCAAAACAGCCCCAGAAAGCAACGCGGCACCAAGACGGCTTGGGAGGACGCCGAGAGGGGTCCCAGACAGCCCCCAAAGCACCCCTAAGACAGCCTCGAACGGCCTCCCGACAGCGCCCCCCAACGGCCCTAAACAGCTGCATAGTCTTCCTATCTGCAGGAATATCAGATTTTCTTTTCAGTCTTGGAGGTTTTCGCAATATTGCCTTTTCTTCATCCGGCATGCCCACGACGACCGACGAAGCTTCAAGTTTCGCCCCCAAAGCCACTTCGAGAACTCCTCTGTCTTGCCCACGTCGAGCTTTTGGTTCAGGCTGATGTGTGTGTGTGTGTTTGAATTGAGGTGGGTTGTATCTTTTATGTATTGCAGCACGTGGTCGCGTGGGGAATACCATCCATGGCATCACCAAACCAATAGCACGGAACGCACTCTGGAGAGAGACAGAGGAGCACACGGCCAACGAGGGCAACCTTGGCCCTTATAAGAGTGATCGGACGCCTCGGAGCACACTCAAAGTGGATAGCTGCGCGTTGCGGTCCGTACTCTTTCCATGACGTGGTCACCGCCGCTGTCGTCGTTATCTGATCGGTGGCGCTGGATCGTGTCTTTTGCCTATCGGTTTCCACTGTTTGTTTCTCTCGACTCCCTTCAGCACCCTATTCTCTTCCACATCCCCTCCTCCCTCCCCGTCCCCGTCCCCTTCCCTGACTCTCCTCTGCGTCCGCCCCCCCCCCCCCTCCGTGTACCTCTCCCCTTTCCCTTCCTATTCCTCTCTCTCTCTCTCTCGCTTTGCTTATTCCGCGGTGGATTCATGTGCGATTCTTTCCATCAAGCATGGGGGTCTCTCATTTTTTGTTTTTTTCTACTGTTTTCGTTGTCGTCCTTGGGCATTTGATCGCAGAGAGTCCACCGCAAATGGCGCGTGGGTTTCACAATCATGTCGGCGCAGCAACGGGTGCGTGAAGTCAGCGCGCGGGCAGTAAGTCGCAAGGTTCAGACGGCAGCAGGCTGGAGGCCAGACGCACAACCACTCGGACGCAGACTGAGACGACGACGAACCCTGTATGGACACGATCTACCTGGATGAGCTCGGTCAGCGGGGGACACCCAAAGTCCAACCCGAATGACATCAGTGTTGTTTGATGGACTGGGAAGGGCATTTCTCGCACATGCGCGCGATCCTGGCGATCAGCGGCCTCTCCATGATCGCACGTAAGGGCAGTGAGCCAGGACAGGGCAGGGAGAAATTCCGACCACGAGTGTTCCACATGACCAACAGCAACGTGGGAGGGCAGTGGCGCTGCCTGGCGAGCTCGCATTGGAATTGCGAGAGGGCCGCTCGTGCTAGACACCGCTCTTGCTCGAAACGCAACAGGACGTACACGGGCGGAAAGGGTTAGAGGGGGCGGAGGATATTAGCTCCTGCACCCGATGTCGCTCTTACTCTTGGTGCCCAGTTTGGTCGTACAGCTTGTTCCGGTGCGGTGTGCGATTTCTGGATGCTTGGTTGCATGATGCTATTTATTCTTGCGCATGTGGAGGTGCTTGGCGTGCTATTGTGGTCATGCGTTCGCAACAGGTCGTGGCGGTACGTTATGTTTTTTTTTTTTTTTTTACGGTTGCCGCCTTCATGTTCTGGTCTTGCGCGGAGCAAGAAAGGAGGAACAATGCTGACTTGTGTGAGGCAAAACAACGTCCGTCGTCGTCGTCGTCGTCGTCGTCGTCGTCGTCGTCGTCGTCGTCGTCGTCGTCGTCACCTTCCCATTGGTTCCCCCGTTCCGTTCCTTCCTCTTCGTTTCTCGTCGGCTGGGGTAGGTGGGGTTGGGGGTACTTCTGGGAGACGAGGTTGGGGGCTGCTGCTCCGTCGGTGCACTTGCAAGTTGGGGCACCAGTCGCGCTCGTGCACGTCTCGCAACAACACGGCTGCAAGCCTGTCCTGCCGCGGTTGGTGGGCAAGCGCTGCTGTCGAGTCTCGGGCCGCGGCGTTCGCGTCTCGTCTCGTGCCTTTTGTCGCAGTGGCCCCAGGCCTTTTGGTCCATCTGTTTTTCTTTGCGGTTTTAGTCACCGGTGACTGGGTGGACTTAGGACATCGGGACGCAGGCCACGAAGGTCAGCCCTGTCTTAGGCCATCTAGTCAAGACGCTTGCGCCATTTCGCCGAGCTGGCCTGGACTGGAGCGACGCCTCAAGCGTTCGCTGGGCATTGGGCCACGGCGGGGGCTCCACGCACGCCGCGCGACCTACTTCGCGTAGAATTGCCGCCGCTGGAAGCGCACGGTCTGGCATTGCCGCCACAGTTAGAGGAGGAGAAGTCAAACACGCAGCAAACAATGCACTCCGGGCTAACCGCGGGACTACCGTGGCGCAGCCCCCTGGCACCGCGGCCACTATTTCACCGGGTAACGCTTTGAGCTGCGCGTTGCAAGCGTGCGCCGAAAAACGCCTACCCTGAGCTGTGCCGAGCGACAGCATGTTATGGAGACCAACGGCCTGGTGGTCTTGTGCCAGGATGTCGTCCAACAGTAGCCAGTCCGCCCCCTGCACTCCGGCGTTGAACACGCCGCCGAGCATACCATTTACGGCGGCCACATCAAAAGCTCACTTGTTGTCGGCCACGGCAAACCAAGTGGGTAGATCTTGCGCGCCACGTAACTGCGCGTGCAAAGTGAGTGCGAACACGAGGGAAACTGGGTCCCCGACCCCCCCTTGCTGAGCGGGCCCGCAGTAGGCCTCGATCTTGGCTCCGTCACGCGCGATCCAAGCAGCGTCTAGGACCGAAGCCACGTCGGAAGTGAAACTAATTGGGCGCAACGAGGACACTCTTCGCACCGATGCCGGCCTAGACTTGCGGATAGGCGCGAAATGCCTAAGGGGCCAAAGCCGGGCTGTGACACAGAGCGCACGGCCGAGATTTAGCAAGGCCCTTGTCAAGCGGAAGCCCTCCTCAATCTTGGCTCGCAACGCCGCGTTGCACAGAGGCACCGTGCGCTTACCAGGCTTCAGCAACGCAAGCGCTGCCTCTACTTCACGTTCGGCGCACGGTAGTGGCGGGCAAGTGATCCCCGCGCCCGCGCCGGACTGCCGGACAGTGGAAACAGCACGCGCCAGGTCGCCCCTGTCTTCAAGATTCTGCGGGAAATCGTTCTGGGTTCTGGCAAAAAGGCCACCAGGAATAAAGTCAATCATGCTGCTGGGGCTGAGGGCGCGCCCTGCGGCTGGGCCCACCAGCTGGACGCTGAAAGCTGAGGGCGGCTTGAAGAAACCAGACAGGAAGCGCTCGGCCGCGCCCGCAGTCATTGCACGCAAATCAAGGTAACGATGACCAGCCTTGCGACGTTCCGCGGCAGCCGCCTCTCTGAAGGCCGAGTGGGTAGGGAAGGCCGAGGGGTCGAGGGTGACGCGCGCGGGCGCGCACCGGGACTGGCTTGGCACTCCCACCATACGCGTGGCCGAGGAGGCGCGACCAACTAAAGTTTTAACTGCGTCGCGGCACCAGGCGGCAACGTGAAGGAGCAGGCGACGTTGGAGGCGGGTTGCCTGCTCGCCGAACCACGGCGGCCGAAGCCATGGAGAAGTCTTCGCAGTTTCCACTGCAACTACAAGCGCGCCCAGTGCGTCGGCAACCTCGCTGAGGCTCGTTTCCCATTCTCCACCAGAGGTCTAAGCAACACGCCCAGCCCAATTCCCGCTGACGACTGCGCAGCAGTGCTACAAGGGACAGCAACCACAACTAACCCATGATCAGACAGGCCTACAAATTCGCTCACAACACGCACAGGGAGGGCGCCCCCACGGGGATCAAGGAACAAATCTATACAGGTGCCCGAAACATGTGTCGTAACAGGGGGGTTGAAAGCCTGCAGCCCCGCTTCTCTAAGTAACGCCTCAAATTGCCGATCCCTTGGACGCTGACAGCAATGGAGGCAGCAACAGCGCGGCTCATGTGAGAGAATGCACGACAGATAAAGAGGGCGTGTTCCAGATTTTGGGGCGAATGAAGATCCCCACCGTGCCCCAGCCTGTCGATCCAGGACCATTCCATTGAAACGGAAAGCCCGCGGGCAGAACCACACCACTAGGGAACCGTGCCCCCGGGAGGATGCATAGGTCGACTCCCTGGTCCTTTAATGCGTGAGCCACGGCTCCCGACCGCCATTCTAAGATAAGATCGCTGCCGAGATGAAGGGAACCACTACGGCCAGGATTGAGGATCGCTATCGTTAACCCGGGCTGGGCCGGCGCAGACTGCGACGAGAGAACATGCGTGTTGGCGGCTGCAGGAGGCGCAACTCCCTCCACAAATGGCGACGCCACTGGAGGGGCCCCCGCTGCCTTCGTCGCCGAGGCTGGCACGACCTCCCGCCGTATATAATCATCATGGACCGTACAGAATGCTCACAACGGGTCTACAAGAGCCCATAATTGTAGATGAACCCCTGCCGGGGTCGCAGGCGCGATGTCAACCAACGCGCCTGCGTCCCTCAAGGCGGCGGCAGCTTCGAGTCGCCTCACTCGTCCGGAGAGCCAGCGCGCGATCTCCCCCCGCAGCGGCTCCATGGCGAGAATCGCCACTTGCGCGTGCTCCCTGCTCGGGTCCATCGCGGCGGCGCCGACAGCCATACGCAGCGCCGGCTCGTGCCACTAGGAACTGCGGCGCGCGGGGCATTGGAAATTCTCCACTTGGCACCGCAAAGACAATAGCAGAAAACATTGACACAAGGAGGCAACCTACACACATTCACACTAGGACGTGCACAACCAGGACAAAAGGAAAAGCCAAAGAGAAAAGTTAACCACGTAGTTGTTTCAACATCATCTTAGACACCCCTTCCCAATCAGACTGAAAAGGGGTGCTGACCTCGTCTCTCCTCCAGGACAGGGCCGGATTCCTGCCTCACAGTCGCGGGTCGCCGTCGCCACCACCGCTTCACAGCCAGATCGAGGGGGGCGGAGGAGAGGAGGGATGAGGAGAGCGAGAGAGAGAGAGAGAGAGAGAGAGAGAGAGAGAGAGAGAAAAAAAGAAAAAGAGAGAGAGAGAGAGAGAGAGACAGACAGAGACAGAGACAGAGACAGAGACACAGACACAGACACAGACACAGAAAGAGAGAGAGAGAGAGAGAGAGAGAGAGAAAAAACAAAAAAAAAGAAAAAGGAAAGACAGAAGGAAAGGGGGAACGGGATGAACGGGAAAGAGCAAGAGGAAGGAAAACACCCCAGAAACAGAAAGGAAGAAAGCCAAACGGAGCAAGCAAAACAACAATAGCGGCCTGCAGCGCACCATTCCTCGCCCGCTCCACGCCCCGAGGCCGCCGAACCAAGGAGCGTCGCTTACAGAACCGATATGGTTTATACGCCGCGCGGCGCGAGGTCGACGGGGAGCAGGGCGAAAGGGCAGAGGAGGGGGCAGCGGAAAGGGAAGACGCCACAACGATCCCTGCAGGGAAACAACAGGCGGATCGCCGGCGTCCCCTGCCGACGCCGCGCTTCGCTGACGCTTTCCTCAAGCAAGTCACGCGGCTTAACGGAAATGAAACCGGCGCTTCCGCCCGCTGGGGGGGGGGGGCCGGGGAGGCCGCCGACTTGATGTCGATGGGCGCGCCTAGGACAAGAAACAGCTCGTCTATGTGCGATTCAAAAGCGGCGCGCCGGCTCTTGGCCACTAGCTTCCCAGTTTTCATTCCAACGATCTGGATGGTCAGCCTGCAAGCCGGCGCGATCTTCCACGCGATATCCAGCCCTGGCTGAGCTGGGTCCCCATTCGGGAACGCGCACGGGGTAGGAGCAAGCACTGGTTGGCCTTTCGCGGGGTTGCAACTATCTGCACCCCCAGTGCCTGCACGCAGTCGTAGAGGTCCGAGGTCGACATACAATTCGCGGCAAGGACGGTTTGCATCGAAACGCGGCCATCGGTGGAGTCACCGACAAGACTGCGCACGCGGTCGTACCAAGCGCCAGCTGCGGCGTTGAGGTCGGCTTTGCTACTGAAGCGCCTGAGGGCCATCACGGCCGCTTTGGCTGCGGCTACCTCGGCGTCCGCGTTAGGCCTTGGGGCCTGCACCAGGGAGCCACTGGCTGGACTGGGGGGCGGCCGCAACAGTGCAACGCTCCTCGGCAGAAGTCCACTCGCACCAGCGCCACCCTTGGGCGTGGTCGCACTGGGCTCTGCCAGCAAATGGGGCGTCGGAACGGGGACGCTACGTGCACGGCCAAGCTCACGGCGAAGCTCCGCCACCTGGGCTGCCAGCGGGCGGCGCCAAAAACCGTCGAAGGGGGCCGAGAGACGTCCAAGAGGGCGCCAAGGTGGCCCAAGAGCGCTCCAAGAGAGCCCGAGACCGCACAAGAGCGTTTCAAAATTGGTCCAACATGTCTCGAAGACAGCCCAAGAGAGGGCTTCAAGACGGCCAAGATGCCCTCAAAAGGACCCCCATGAGGCACTCAGGAGGCGAAACAAGTTTGTTATTTCTATGGTTTTGACGGTTTTTCGTGTTCTCGCCGTTTCGTGCTTTGAACAGTCCAAGACAGCCCACGAGGCCCCAGAAATCAGCTCAACACGGCCCAAGAGGCGCCCAAAGAGGGCGCCACGACGGCGCAAGAGAGCCCCAAGACGGCCCAAGAGCGCTCCAAGACGGCCCACGAGGCGCCCAAGATCGCCCAAGAGGGCCCCAAGACGGCCCCAAGAGGGGCCCAAGAGCGGGAACACGAAGCGAAAATTCGAGCCTTCCGCCCCAAGAGGCCTCCAGGAGGCCCCAAGAGGCTCCCAATAGAGCACAAGATGTTTTTAGAGGCCCCCTAGAGGCCCCACGAGGCCCCAAAAAGGCCCAAAAAGAGGCCCCAAGAGCACCCCAAAAGGCCCCCAAGAGGCCTCCAAAACATACCGATGCATGACAAAGGACCGCCTAGCCGATCGTGGCATCGCAGCGCTGCATGAGATGACATGTCACGGCACAGCACGATAGAGCTAACCGTGTCAGTGCATATCACAGTATGGCTCAGCATGCCAGATCATTGTATTACATAGCAGTGTCTAGCTGAGCCTAGCACTGCGCGTCACCACGTAACATTGCCTAGCATTGCATTGCATCTCCTGTCTGATGACACATCGTGGCGTACAATGGCATTCCAATGCGTACACATTAATCGAACAGCACCATACTATTCTGCGCAACAGTAAGCAGACAACATGTAAATATCACAGCCCCGTTGTTGTTCTGACTGTCGTTGCTTGTTAGCCTAGCAGCTCATAACATAGCATTGCATTGCATTGCATTGCATTGCATTGCATTGCATTGCATTGCATTGCATTGCATTGCATTGCATTGCATTGCATTGCATTGTATAACACGGTCTGTCGTGTCGGTGCATACCATGTAACGCGGTAGCATCGTTCTTAGTAGGAAACATCGCATGGTAAGGCTCAGCGTATCATCCCATCTATTATCATAGCATTTCACATCACAGCATGGCATGGCATGCAATGCGCACTATAGATTATATCATGCTATTGCATTGCATACGGCATAGTGGCATTGCGCTTATATACCGCAGCATGGTGTATCATGGCATTCCATAGCACAGTGCAAGGCCCTGCGGCGCTGAATTTGTCCTGGCCCATAGCTTGGCAACAGATCACCAGTCGGCCGGCGGATGAGAGCGGAGGAGGAGGAATGAGGAAGGGGCAGGAGGAAACAGAGAATGTTGACCTCATTATTCATGCTTGGCTTGTTGTCTCAATGCGGTCAGCATTCGACCAGCTAGAATCTAAGCGCGCGCGAAGCGCGCGCGATGGTTCTAGTATATATATATATATATATATATATATGCTCGCCCCCCCCCAGCGCCCCCCAATCATCAGCATCACCAACATCATCATCATCATCAGCATCGCCATCATCATCATCAGCAGCATCAGCATCAGCATCAGCATCATCAGCAGCACCAGCATCAGCATCAGCATCAGCATCAGCATCAGCATCAGCATCAGCAGCATCAGCATCATCATCATCGTCATCATCAGCAACAGCATCATCATCATCATCAGCATCATGATCAGCATCGCCATCAACATAATCTTCAGCATCATCATCAGCATCATCATCAACATCCTGTTCCTCCTCCTCAGCCTCACCGTCTCCCGTCGTCTCCCTATCCCCCTCCTCCCCCTCCCCCTCCTTCTCCTCCTCCTCCTCATCCACATCACCATCATCATCATCATCATCATCAGCATCATCATCATCAGCATCGTCGTCAGCAGCAGCATCATCATCATCAGTATCATCATCAGCATCATCACCATCATCATCATAATCATAATCATAATCATCATCATCATCATCATCATCATCATCATCATCATCATCATCACCATCACCATCACCAGCATCATCATCACAGTCAGCATCAGCATCATCAGCATCATCAGCAGTCGCAGCAGCAGCATCCTCCTCGCCTTCTCGCCCCCTTCCCCAGCACCCTTCTGCTTTCCAAAATAAGAAACAAAAAACACGAAACATACACAGTGTTTCGCGCCCTCGATGCAAGGACATGCTTTTGTTTCAAACCATCCTGTGGTGTTGGGTCCTCGTTTTGGGTCTGAGGATCAACGAACCACTGTGTAGTTTAAGCTTTTTTGTTTTTGTTTGGTTTTAGGAGCCCCATGTTCGCCGAGGCCTCTGCGAGCATGGGGCCTCCAAAACCCAGAACCACACCAAAAACCAAAAATACACAGTGTTTCGTTGATTATGAGACCCCCCCCTCAAAAAAAAAGAAAGAAAACAAAACAGCAGTTCCTTGCATCGAAGGCGCCAAACACTGTGTATTTTTTTGTTTTTTGTTCCCAACCATCCTGTGGTGTTGGGTCCTCGTTTTGAAGAGACGGTGCCCCGCGTCTCCTCCTCCTCTCCTCTCCTCCTCTCCTCCTGCCGCCCGCATGCGTCCCGCACACCCATTTCGGCACACCCCTCACACGTTTCGTGGCCCCATAGGGAGCTCCACCGAAGGCCCCAGTGCTGCCGTCCGCATGCGTCCCGCACACCCATTTCGGCACACCCCTCACACGTTTCGTGGCCCCATAGGGAGCTCCACCGAAGGCCCCATGGCTGCCGTCCGCATGCGTCCCGCACACCCATTTCGGCACACCCCTCACACGTTTCGTGGCCCCACAGGGAGCTCCACCGAAGGCCCCATGGCTGCCGTCCGCATGCGTCCCGCACACCCATTTCGGCACACCCCTCACACGTTTCGTGGCCCCACAGGGAGCTCCACCGAAGGCCCCATGGCTGCCGTCCGCATGCGTCCCGCACACCCATTTCGGCACACCCCTCACACGTTTCGTGGCCCCATAGGGAGCTCCACCGAAGGCCCCATGGCTGCCGTCCGCATGCGTCCCGCACACCCATTTCGGCACACCCCTCACACGTTTCGTGGCCCCACAGGGAGCTCCACCGAAGGCCCCAGTGCTGCCGTCCGCATGCGTCCCGCACACCCATTTCGGCACACCCCTCACACGTTTCGTGGCCCCATAGGGAGCTCCACCGAAGGCCCCATGGCTGCCGTCCGCATGCGTCCCGCACACCCATTTCGGCACACCCCTCACACGTTTCGTGGCCCCACAGGGAGCTCCACCGAAGGCCCCAGTGCTGCCGTCCGCATGCGTCCCGCACACCCATTTCGGCACACCCCTCACACGTTTCGTGGCCCCATAGGGAGCTCCACCGAAGGCCCCATGGCTGCCGTCCGCATGCGTCCCGCACACCCATTTCGGCACACCCCTCACACGTTTCGTGGCCCCACAGGGAGCTCCACCGAAGGCCCCAGTGCTGCCGTCCGCATGCGTCCCGCACACCCATTTCGGCACACCCCTCACACGTTTCGTGGCCCCATAGGGAGCTCCACCGAAGGCCCCAGTGCTGCCGTCCGCATGCGTCCCGCACACCGATTTCGGCACACCCCTCACACGTTTCGTGGCCCCACAGGGAGCTCCACCGAAGGCCCCAGTGCTGCCGTCCGCGTGCGCCCCGCACACCCATTTCGGCACACCCCTCACACGTTTCGTGGCCCCATAGGGAGCTCCACCGAAGGTCCAGTGCTGCCGTCCGCATGCGTCCCGCACACCCATTTCGGCACACCCCTCACACGTTTCGTGGCCCCATAGGGAGCTCCACCGAAGGTCCCAGTGAGTGTGCCCGCATGCGTTCCGCACACCCATGTCGGCCCACCCCTCACACGTTTCGTGGCCCCATAGGGAGCTCCACCGAAGGTCCCAGTGGGTGTGCCCGCATGCGTCCCGCGCACCCATTCCGGTACACCCATTCACACGTTTCGTGGCCCCATAGGGAGCTCCACCGAAGGTACCAGTGGGTGTGCCCGCATGCGTCCCGCACACCGATTTCGGCACACCCTTCACGCGCTTCGTGGCCCCATAGGGAGCTCCACCGAGGGTCCCCGTGGCGCAGTCCGCACGCGTCTCCCCCACCCAGTACACCTCCGTCGGAGGCCGTCGGAGTTCCGCGCCTCCCTCGCCCGTCGTCGCTCTGCCCAGAGGCAAGAGCCTTGCCCGCTATCAGCCAGCCAGCTATCTCTCTTTGCTGCGCGCAGCGGACGACCCGCGCGCGTCGCTGGGACCCCTCCGGGGCGACCTGCGCGCGTCGCTGGGACTCCGCGCTGCGCTGCGCCCGCAGCCTTGGACTTTTGAGTGCGCGGGCAAAGAGGGAGTAAAAGAAGGGGAGGAAGCGGGCGCGATCCTCGCGGTGGCGTCGCGGCGCGCGGGCGATGCCGTCGGGGAGTCCCGGGGAAGCTCCTTGCGGCGGCCACGCCCAGCGTCACGAGTACTTAGAGGCAGTCATTCACAAACTATTAGCATTCATATACAAAGGCACCATGCATTGGCTTACTCGCATTCATGCGCGTAGACTCGCTCGCCCGCAGATTCATTCACAGTCAGACGCACTCACGCTCAGATTCACCCGCGCTCAATCTCCCTACGTACTCAGATCAATCGTTTTCGTTCGCGGTGTGTACCACGCCATTCATTTCGGCACACCACTAGCACAATTCGTTGCCCCATAGGGATCACCACCGA